CCGCCCCGCCCCGTCATCACCTCAACTGCCATTTTCCTTAGCGTAGGCTGCATGCTCTTGGGGAGTGCGTAGACCCCATTCTTCAAGGGGACACTTAAGATTGGCAGATTCCTTCTGAGACTCTGAAGGGTTGAGGTGGGGGGACAAGGAGCATGAGGCCCTGGGGCTGGTCCTGCTGTCCTCCATCCCACCCAAGCAGGCCCCCGAGAGAGCTCAGCTGAGGAGGCCCCAGAGCCGGTGGGCGGATGCTGGAAGGGGAGCTAGGGCAGATGCTGGGCAGGCCAGCTGGGTTCCCCAGGCCCCCCGTGCTGATTCCAGGCCCTGGGCCTTTCCTGAGGGGTAGTTGGGGACCACTGGCTGTGGGAACTTGTCACAGGGGCCCAGGGGCAGGGTGGGCACTGAGCATGACACTTCCCTGCAGGGCCCTTCTCCCAGTACCTCAGTCTCGAGGATCAGCTCACAGGACGCCAAGACCTCGCCCTCTTCCTCCCCCAGCTGTTTTGCAAGGGGGTGCCATCTCATGGGGGGCAGGACCCGATGTTGGACATCCAGCCAGACCACCGGAGACCATATGCTCCGTCCCCAGCAGCTCTCCTTGCCCTGGAGGGAGGGAAGTTTGCAGAATATGGTGCCAAGCTGGTGGGTTCTGGCTCCTCCCCTGGGACCCTGATGAGTCTGGGAAAAGGGCTAATGTGTGTGCCCCGGGAGCACCTTCCACTCTGCCCAGCCCAGCCCGCGTACCTGGGAGTCCCGCTGCCACAGTTCCAATGCCACAAGTGGCGGGCTCTCTTTGGTGTCTTGAGGGCTCTCATACAGAAGGAGGTGCTGGAAGATGAGCGTCTGGGCCCATGTGGGGGCTGCAGAGCTCTTCAAGATTTGGGTGCGCTGGCTATGGTTCAAGAAGACCAACCGAATGAAGGGCTCTGGAGGGTGGAGGAGAGGGGTGATTCTCACCATTGAGCTAAGTGAGGCTCTCCAGGGCTACTGCCACCACTGGACCAGGTACCCAGGGAGGCTCAGGTGGGGCAGCCCAGTCACGGCCCGCTGCGCAGAAGGCCACCTCAGTGTAAGCCACAGTGCAAATGGACAGATAATCAGAGGTCAATGGCCATTTGGTCCCACTCACGTCTGTCTTACACTACCGTGGGTGAGGCCTGGGTGTCACAGAGATGGAGGGCCAGGTTGCGCCCCTGAAGGAGTTCTGGGGACCAGGCTTCACAAGGCTGCCTTTTCACAGCATCAGCGAGTAGCCTTGGTAGCAGGGAATATAAAAAAGCTTCCCCCCCCCCCTTTTTTTTAAATCCTCAACCGAGAATATTTTATCATTGCTTTTCAGAGAGAGTGGGGGGGAGAGAGAGAGAAAAATATCAATATGAAAGAGGCATATCGATTGGTTGCCTCCCGCATTTGCCCTGACCAGGGCCAGGGATACAGCCTGCAACTTAGGTACATGCCCTTGGCCAGAATTGTACCTGGGACCCTTTAGTCTGCAGGCCAATGCTCTAACCACTGAGCCAAACCAGCTAGGGCTCAAAGAGCCCTCTTGATGCGGGTGCTGATGCCCAGTGGACACTGCCCTGGCTTAGCCACTCCTCCAGCAACCTGGCTCCCTACACAGTGCCATCAACAGGACAGGGCGAGAAACTAACTCACCTGGAGCCTTCCATGGGTCCTCCTCACAGAACAAAGGACAGGCTCCTCCTGTGCAGGACCATAAATTGCCACCCCTCCTCCCTACCCTTCATCTTCTGTCCAACACAAAGGACGTGGTTTCCAAATGTGCCACCCTCTCTGCCTTCATGTCTCATCAGTACTCTACCAGCAAACTCCTCTCTCTTCAAGGCCTAGCTACGCAGTGCCCATGAGGTGATGCCTCCCCAGCGCCCCCTTCTTGATTCCGCAGCGCTGGGGACATACCTCAAGAACAGCCTCGCTTTGTATTCCTTGTTTTCCTGTCTTTTCCCCAAACTAGGGCCATGAGCTGCTGGGGCATGGGGGGTGGTCTGCATCTTTGTCACCCTTTTCCTTTGCCATATTCTTCATACTTCAAGTGGCCGCATCCCTGGGGGCTGGGGGAGAAGAGGTGCCTGCCACCTACCCTGGAATGTCTGGATCCGGTTGGCCATCAGGTTCCGGGCCTGGTAGATGTAGCAGAAAAGCTGGTAGTAGTGGGGCTCTGGGTAAGAGAGGAGCTGAGTCTGTCACTCCGGACCCAACTCCACCCCTCCCCTCTCCCTGGCCTCAGATACGGGGCCTCAGGGGCCACCCAGGCTGACTCTCAGTTAAGTGCTCACTGTTGAAGATGCAGTAGATGAAGGGCAGGTGGGGTTGCTGGGTGTCTTCTGGGGCCGGCCTCCAGGGGAACCTGGTTGTTTTGCTCCGTGATGACGCCCTGATTTCCTCCTCCTCAGCCTGCTTTTTCAGATCCTTCCCCTGCCCCCACAACAGTCTCCCCTGAGGCTCCTGGGTGCCCAGGCCCAGGCCACACTTTTGCCCTTCTGAGCTCCACCCTTCCAAGTCCAACTATGTGGATCCAGGGCCCAGGCACGCCACCCTCCAGCTGTCAGTGCCCCAACCCAGGGCATCTCTTGTTGGCCTGGGCTCTAGGAGGTGGGGTGCAGGGAGGAGGTGCCTGGCCCTCTGAGGCTTTACCAAGGATCCCTCCAGGAGAAATATGGGTGCGATGCCCTTGTCCTTGTTGGGGGCCAGGCTGCGGTGCCAGCAGCGGCGGCGGAACCGGCTCTGGGGCTGAGGGTTCAGGTCGAACTTGGAGCCAATGGTGCCGTATTCCCAGCCCTCCTCTTCCTGGGTTGGGCCAGGGTGGTGCTGCAGGGAGGACGGCAGAGTCACCCTCCTGCCCTGGCCCCAGCTGGACCCTGCCAGCGGTCCTGCCAGGCTCCTGCCCAGGTGGCCCCTTACCAGCTGCAGGAAGGACAGGGTCTCCTCCTCCAGGCTCAGCTCCCCGTGTTTCCGGTAGCGCACACGCACCCAGCGCCGCCGCCGGCGAGAGTAGTAGGTCTTCTCCACCGCGTTCCAGACCTGGGGCAGGCCGGAGGGCTGGATTCCCACGCCATACTCCCAGCCTGCAGAAGCAGGACCGTGGCCTGTGGGTGCCCAGTTGCCACAGGCCAGGAGGCTGGGACAGGCCTGAGAGATGGGTCCCAGGGGGCAGGCTACGGGGCAGATCTCTCTAGTCCTAGAAGGTGTGGTCACACTGTGTCACCCTGGTGGCCTGGGCCCAACAGCCCATCTTACAGGTGAGAAAGGTAAGGCTCAGAGATGTCATGTGACCCATACAAGGTCGCATCGCCCATAAGTAGCAGGGTTTGTGTCTCCAACCCAGGTCTTCAGACTTCCTGCTCAGGGCACCTCCCTTGGAGCCACCGGGGTGAACCCAGGCTCCATAACCAGATCCTGGCTCAGGTGCGTGGGAGGCACTTACAACCTGCCCTGTCTCAGAACTAGGGCCCATGTCTGTGGAAAGGGTGAAGGCCCCGATCTCCCAAGGCTGGGGACCCCACCTGGGAGCTTGGCTGCTTTCAGGCTGTGGGAAGTGTTGGACCCTGGCAGCTCCAAGCCCTCCTGCCGCCCAGCCTGTGAGCACAGGACTGACCCTCATTGTCTACCGCATGGTTCAGCTCCACAGTCCAGTTCTTCTTCACCTGCCAGCCAGGGGGGCACTTCACATTCTCCCGGGCCTCCACAGGCTGTCCATTCTGTGGGGAAAGAGAGGGGACAGGGTCTAAGGGGTGTCTGAGCTAAGGGGCCGCCTTCACTCATCTGCCTGCACATTCTCTCTGTCCAGGCCACAGTGGCCTCCTGCCCCCGGGAGCAGACAGCACTTGCTACGTCTAACACCACTCACAGAGTCACTTAATACACTTTTACCGACTTGCCTTTTCAAACTATAAATAATTATATATATATTTTTAAATATATTTTTATTGATTTTAGAGAGAGGAAAGGAGAGGGAGAGAGATAGAAACATCAACAATGAGAGAGTCATTGATCGGCTGCCTCCTGCACGTCCCCGACTGGGGATGGAGCCCACAACCTGGGCATGTGCCCTGACCGGGAATTGAACCTCAGTCGCCTGGATCCTAGGTTGATGCTCAACCGCTGAGCCACGCCTGGCCGGGCAATAAATATATTTGTAAAAGGAAACTTTATATGTCTACTCTCTGTGGAAAATCAGTATCACTCCCCATAAATAGGAAATAACCATGGTAATGACTGAAAGCAAACTTGTGCTATGGCTGCCACCTGATGCTGCTGCCCAAGCCCAGGCTGCCGGCCCTGGTTGGTAGGGAAGCCCAGCATGTGTGAAAGGGACTAGACCGCCAGGTCCCATGCAGCAGCCACCAGCCTCCTGGGGCCGGTTACATTTAAATTAATTAAAATTAAACAAAACTCAGGAGTTCAGTTCGTCTCCCTCACAATGCCACATTTCAAGTACTCAGTAGCCACACATGGACAGGGCAGATATAGAACATCGTTTTTTTTAAATTTTTTTTTTTAATGTATCTTGCCCAGCCGGCGTGGCTCAGTGGTTGAGCATTGACCTAGGATCCAGGAGATCGCAGTTTGATTCCCAGTCAGGGCACATGCTCTGGTTGTGGGCTCACTCCTCAATTGGGGGCATGCAAGAGGCAGCCAATCCATGGCTCTCTCATCACTGATGTTTTTCTCTCTCCCTCTCTCTGAAATCAATAAAGATACTTTACTTTTTCTTAAGTCTTTATTGATTTCAGAGAGAGGAAGGGAGAGGGAGAGAGAGAGAAACATCAATGATGAGTTATTGATCAGCTGCCTCCTGCATGCCCCCTATTGGGGATTGATACACAGCCCAGGCATGTGCCCTGACCTGGAATCGAACCTCGATCTCCTGGATCACGAGTCAATGCTCAACCGCTGAGCCACACTGGGCCGGGTGAACGTTTCTATCATCACAGTCAGTTCTACGGGACAGCACTGCCTAGGCCAGCCCCAAACCCATTTTCTCCTTCAGGGGAAGCCCTCCCTCTGAAGAGGCCACCCGGCTGGAGCCAGCGTCAGTGCCAGCCCAGGGTCCACGCAGGGGGTTAAACAGGGCTCAGGTGGCAACCCCTGGTCCAGCCCTCTTTCCACTTGCACAACCCAGCTTCCAAGGTGCCCATCTGGTTGCACTGCTCACCACGTCCGTATTGGGGGTGGCTGCCGGCACCCAGGCCCCTGTGACGTCCCGCTGCTGGTTCTCATAAACCTCGTCTAGCATCTGGCTCTTGTTGATGTCTGTGTCCAGGAGGAGTCTGGGGGTAGCAGACCCTGAGTTCCCAACACATCTCCCCAAACTTCCAGACCCCTGAGGTCTTCCTCTGCTGGCCAAGTGTGCCCTCAGTGGGCAGCTCCACCTGCTCTGGCAAGGGCTGGGCAGTGGGCTGGCATGTAGGGAAGGTGGTGGCCAGGGCTTCTGTCTGGGCACCCCAACCCGAGGACTGGGCTCCAGGGGCTCTGTGCCTCTCTGTCTAGGCTGCTGCTGACTGGCCTCCCGTGTGAAAGGAAGCGTTGACTCCAGGGCTGCATGGCCAGGGCACACAAGCTCCAGGCCCTGCACCTGACACTTACCTCCTCTGAGGCTCCACTGTCCATGTTCCCTGCCAGTGCCATCCCGAGGGCTCCTTGAAATCCTCCTTGGGGAGAGCCTTGCGCCCCAGGACGTCAGAGAAGTTGGGGCAGTGGTAAAGCCCCTGCTGCCCCCACTGGTCTTTATACTTGGCCTGGTTCTCATACTGGGGGTGGG